GAGGGAGGGAGGGAGGGAGGGCGAGGGAGAGGCAAAGAGCGATAGAGAGTATAGTGGGCAAACAATAGTGGTCCCAGAGATATAAATAATGCGGATGCCTGGGCGGACTCCATTCACCCCTTTCCTCCCCCATCCAGCGGGGCGGGCGGAAATCACATCGCACAAAAACGCATTTACTCTCTCTATCCCTCCCTGCCTCCCTCTCACAAACACATACACCATTGTGCGACGCGTGCATAAATGTGGGCAGCGTCGTGTCGCGTATTGAGGGCTTTGTGTGTGGTGGGCGCTCAGCAGACTCATCGACGCTCTGCAGGGAGGGTGGTGGAGAGGGGAGAGCGAAATATGGAAATATATGGGTGTGCTGGTGCTGCTGCTGCAAGGACGAATGTACGGGTTAATTGGCTCGATCAAAAATGGAGTGAATCATGTTCCCAAAGCCCATTGGCGCTTGTCCTACACGGGCGCGCCCTGCCGGCTTTTGTTCTCCGGTGGTCGGGACGCGGTAAGCGCCCCGGGGACGAGAGGCTCGCGCGACATCATTACTTGTATTATATGTTCCCAATATTTTCGTTCAAGTGTTCTTGATAAAAACGCAACATATGTGACTGAGGATGGTGACTATGGCAGCAGTTCTCTCAAATGAAACTGTATTATTTTCCTCCTTTTTTCTGGTTATACTGCTGATGTATATTGAATATTGAGCGTGAGAACACCAAGTACAAGTTAAAAACAGTACATATAAACGTACGCAGTCCTAAATTCTAACAGGTTCTCGTCAATCTACAACAAAAACGTGTACGATTTGCTCGTATAAGAGAAACCTGAATCGATTCGCTGTCGTAACTTTCACAAAATTATTATCTTTACGAACATTTTTCACATGGCGTTGTCTAAAAGGGACTTTACAAGACGTCTCGCGGAGACTCTCTCTCTCATTCCCTGGCATCACCCCGCCTATTTTTTAGAAGGCAGATGGACTTTTCTTCGCCGCACTTCCGCGCCGCGGCTGACCTCCGGGCGAGATGGAGCCGGGGAGCAAGGGCGCTCATTACCTCGCCTTGTGCCCTTTGTCATGCAAAAGGGACAAGCTACTGCTGCGGGACGGGCGTTCTTCTTCTGTCGCGGGGCGTGGCGGG